GCCCTTCAACATTTTTTTGTGTTGTTTTTTGGAGACAGGGTCTCCCTGTAGCCCCAGCTGGCCTGGAACTTGCTATGGAAATCAGGCTGGCCTCCATCTCACAGAGATCTGCCTCTGCTGGGACTAAACACCCAGCTTTCCTGCAACTTTTTGTTGTTGAGAAAGTGAATGCTATGAATCCCAGACGTGCCTGGAACTCTTCTATGTAGCCCAGACTGGTCTAGGACTCAGAATCTACCTGCCTCAACTTCCCTAGGGCCACGATTACAGGTGTGTGTCACTACACCCAGTGTGTACATGTACTTACATTTTTTTGATTTATATATAAAAAATAAGTTTATATTAATCAAAAAAATTTTAAATAAACTCTAAAAAAAAAGTGATCTACAGTAAAAGGAATCTTTATCTATTGTAAGGAAAACAACTGTTGTAGATTAGGAAAATCCATTTGTTTATGTTTTTCAACCTTTAATGGTATTTCTAATAGAATTTCCCCATTTGAATTGGTTGATTGATTGACTGATTGGCCACCTATTTTTTGTTTTGTGGTGCTGGAGATCAATCCTGGGGCATTTTGCATGCTAGGCAAATGCTCTGACACTGAATCATATCCTCAACCCATTGTATTTCTTTGTTTCTCAATATTCAATTCATTGGTACCACGTAATTGTTTTCTATGACATTTAAATTATATCTTTCCATACGCAAGCCATTTCTATATCTTTCAAACTTTATTAGTCTTTCAAAATTTAAATCTTAAAAAAAAAATTGCTATGCAGACCAGGCTGGTCTTGAACTGGCATCCTCTTGCCTCTGCCTCCCTAGTGCTGTGGATAACAGGCAAGCACTAACATGCCTGGTCAAAAACTTTTGGGAGGGCCGTCAAGATAGCTCAGTGGGTAAAAGTGCTCACTGCACATGCCTGGTGATCAGAGTTGGAGCCCCAGAATCCAAGTAAAGGTGGAAGGGAAGAACTGACTCTATAAAGTTGTCTTCTGACCTCCACACACATACTGTGACACCTGCAATCACACACCCCAACACTAATAAATCAAATAAAATTAAAACTTTTTTCTGCTTTACTTTTCAGAATCCATTTCCTACAAATTCATACTTTATTATCTTGAATGAACATCTTAACAAAGATGGGTATGTAATCATCCTCAGTACTCAGGAGGCTGAGACAGGAGAACTACAAGTTTGAAGATACTTTGGGTTAAATGGCAAGATTCTGTCACAAAAAAACAAAACAGGTTTTAAGCTGCTTTGGGGAAGAATACAGGCTTTGCTACTTTATTTTCTCTAGAGAACACAATAAATGACCAAAAACCACTTACAAAGAAGTAATATGAGACCAGGTGTGGTGGCTTACAAATGTAATCACAATACTTGGGAGGCTGAGGCGGGAGGCTTGCCCTGAGAATGAGGACACTATGAGCTATAAATAGTGAGTTCCAGGCCAGGACAGCTATAAAGTGAGAAAACAAACAAAGGGAGGTGAGGTGGCACATGTCTGTAATCCTACCCAGCGATGGGAAGGCAGAAGCAGGAGAATCAAGAGCTCAGGCCAGCTTGGCCTATATAGTAAGTTCCAGACCATCCTGGACTATATATCGACTCTATTTCAAATATCAAAACCAAATAAAATAACAAAAACCAATGTAATTTTTTGTTTTTGTTTTTGATATGGTCTCCTTAGTCCCACCCTGCCTGGAAATCACTATGTGGACCAGACTGGTCTGAATCTCACAGAAATCCACCTGCCCCTGCCTCCCAAAGGCTGGGATTAAAGGCACACACTGCCATACTCAGTGTTTGCCATACAACACATACCATGCCATGCAATAGATCAAGACAACTGTTCAGAAGATTACTCCAAAAATATTGTGAGTTTCTCAATAATTTACTTTCCAATAGTTTTTTGATAGGTCTCCAACCCCCATTCATCATTTTGAATTTCAAAAAGCACTGAAAATTAAATGTTTCTTTAAAAAATATTTTAAAAAATTTTATTTGTAGTATTTTGCCTATATGTATATAAGTGCATCAGAGTGTGCAATGCCTGTGGAGATCAGAGGAGGGTGCTGGATCCCCTAGCACTGGAGTTCTGGACAGTTGTTAGACAGCAAGTGGGTGCTGGGAACTAAACCAGGTCCTCTGCAAAAGCAGCCAGCACTCTTTAACCACTAAGCCATCTCTCCAGTCCCTGAAATGTTTTCTTAACTTTTGTAGCAACATATTTCCCAACCTGACTCATTTGTTATTAAATTTGATTTCACCTGGACCTGTGTTAGCAAAGTGACAAAACCTGATCTGAGAAACCTGCTCTGAACTGAAGCAAGACTATGTTTTACATGTCCTTGCTAGTGTGATATAGTCATAATTCTTCCTGGAAAAAAAAAACAAAACTGGCCAGGCATGGTGGTGCATACCTTTAATCCCAGCATTTGGGAGGCAGAGGCAGGAAGATCTCTGTGAGTTCAAGGTCAGCCTGGTCTACATAGTGAGTTCCAGGACAGCTGGGGCTACAGGGAGACCCTGTCTCAAAAAGACCAAAAAAAAAAAAAAAAACAAAAACAAAAAAATTGATTAGTGGGTGGTGCCACAGATTCTGTGAGGTGTCATATAACATAAAATATACTTATATAAAGTCCAAAACAATTCTGAAATCCAACTGGCCGAATTTCAATAGTTCACTCACTGCCATGAAAGTTAATTTTTGGAAAATATGATCAAATTTGGGGGGATATATATTTATCTTCAGGGGAGAAATATGGTCTAAAAGTCAAGGGACCATTAAAAGCAATGACAAGTTAGAAATCCTAAGTAAAGAGCTTCATGGGGGAAAATGGGATCTAAAGATCCAAGAAACTACTAAGAATAATAAAAATACCTGCAGAAAGTTTAACTTTCAATCACAATTTGTATTAAACATTGTTTTCTAATTTCATTAATTGAAAATTTGTGGTAATTTGAAATTTATTACATATTTAACTGATGATGTCAATAAAAAGTGGCATCTGAAAAAAGTGTGTATATAAAATTCACCTACTATAGTCAAATTTCTTAGGAAACTCTATGGTTACCAGGATCTTGCTCTGGCCTCCCCTTATCTCTCTGGCGCTTGTGATCTATCTCAAAATAATTCTGATGCAATACACATAGTAGAAAAGATAAGTGTTTACTGTGAAGTGGAGGAGTGCATACTCTCTAGGGATGAGAGTGGATGATGACCAAAGAGACCATTGTGTCAACCTACATTTTTAGTTTGCCTTTGCACTAGCTCTCAAAGTCCGTACAGTACATGGCTTTCCTAAGGGGCATATTTCTGTCCAGGTGTTTGGGAGGCCCATTTGGATGTACTTTTAAGGAAAGGGACAGTGTTAGTCCTTGTTCTTTAACAGAAAGCCTGAGCTAGAAATATGGTTTTTCTATAGTTCATAATGTCATTATCTCTACCCAGAACCAGGGATTCCATGAAGCCCAGGTTAGCCTTGAACTTACTACGTAGTTGAGGATGACCTTGAACTTCTGATCCTCCTGCCTCTACTTCCAGAGTGTTGGGATTACAGGCATGCACCACCATGCTTAGTTTATGCAGTGCTGGGTATAGTAAATTCTAGATAAGCACTTTACCAACTGAGCAGCCCCAGTCCCAGATCTCATTCTTTGGAACAGTTATCAAAGGCTTGCAACTTTGGTTCCTGGTTTTGCAAGCTGCCAATTAGGAGGGAGGTATCCAGCCTCAATGACCTTCAAGCCTACAAATATTTGAGTAGTTACTTAGCCACTAATACTAGGTTGCAGGCACTAATTCAAGTGATCACTTATGTTGATTATCACGTAATTTTTTCAACTGTAAAATGAAGAGGATAGAAGCAACTGTAAAGGTTCTCTCGAAATTCTAGGATCAAGTGCAAAACACAACACAAGACTATTAGGTGGGGGTGTTAGGCAGAAGATAGACATGAACAGTGCAATTGGGAGAAGGGGTCTCCTAAAAGACAGCCCAAGCTCTGTTCCTATTTGTATACAAGTTGATATTATAAAACCCTGACCCCAGTTTTCCTGAAAAAGCCTCAATTAAAAAAAAAAATAACAGAATGTCTTAACCCACAGTAGCCATGAGATCAGTCACAGGACCGTGAGCAATCTCAGAGTTTGATATGAAGTAACCAAAAAACCAAGCCAAACCAAAACAAAAAAACCCAAAACTGCCCCTGTATTTTGATAGTGGTGTCTCCTGACCAACAGAATGCCCCTTTGTGGCAAAATGTCCTTGAGACTGCCCATAGTTTATTCTTCAATTTCGTTATAATATTTCCACTGTGGTTTTGTTCCCCACCTCCCTTGTGGGCTTTTCTAGAGGATTATGAGAATTCTAAGAGGAAAATTTGGTCCATCATGATTTGGGAGCAAAATGTGGTCACCTTACCCCATAAATATGCCACCCACCTCATATTTATAAAAACCTTCAGGATCCACAACGCAGAACCTTCTCTACTGCTACCTCCCTTTGGAATGTTTGCTTTGCTAAATAACTTCTTCTTAAACTGCCTATGTCTTTTAACAGCATTCTTTCCTTTGGAAACTCAATGGAGAGATTCCTGCAAAAAGACCAAGTTCAAAGCTTTCAATTAGTAGGAAACAGATAAAGCAGCAAATATTAAGAACCTGTTTTAGTGAAGTTAACGCGAACTTGATTATGTGGAAGATGAAAACATGAAAGCAGATTTTGTGTATTAGGTATTTTAACGTTTAGTGTAATCTAATTTGTTATCCTTTCTTCACAGATGACACTGTAAATTTATCGATTTTATGACAACACAGAAATATGATGGATATGAACAGGATATATTTGCTTCTATGGAGTTTCAATTCAAATTCAAGGATTAATATAAGCTATATAAGTCAAAAGCGATTTTAGAAATAATTTAACAAAAGCACAGAATAAACTCATGCATACAAAATACTACATATAACAAAAGCAGTTAACTCACAGAAATAACGGGTGGAAAGATCACTGCTGGAGAGCAAATATAATCACAGATCATTATAATTTAAAAGTTCCCAAGAGAAGCAGGATTTTTACAGTGACCAAAACTTCGGAGCTACAAAACAAAACAAAACAGCTCAGTACTGGACCAGGGACTGGGAGAGCCTTGCAGTTTAGTAACTGCAGCTCAACCAGTGGTCGTTCCTAAACTTCTCTTGATTCTATTTCCTTAAGGGGTAAAATAGATGTACTGGCTCAGGATGGTATTTAAGATCCAGTCCGTGACAAAGTGACGGCTATATGCCTCTGGGAGACCCTTCTCACCTGGCTGGCAAGTTTCAAATGGACTCTTTGGTAAGCAAACGCTCCATACCATAGCCAAAGATAGGAGGAACAGCCAGCAAAGGGAAAAATCCCTTTTCTGCCCAGGAGTGTCGCCGTGGACCGCCCGAACAGAGCATGCGCAGCAACGGTGGGGGTGGGGGACGGGGGGGGTGGCGGCGGCGGCGGAAGTGACGTGCGCGGGCTCTGGGCTCTGGAGAGGTGTACCCGGTCTGTGCTGGGAGGCGGTGCCGCTGGCGGAAGAGGTTCGCAGGCTGATGGCGGCTGAGGACTGGCTAGCTGTGTAGTGTGGCCCGGGCCGGGAGGCCCTGAGCGGGTGAGGCGCCCTGTGGGCCTGGCGCGTAGTCTCTGGCCGGGGTGGGTTGCGACTCTCGGACTGCGGCTCTGGGGCTCGCGCTCCGCCCCTCAGCCCTGGAATCCCGGGCCCGCGAGTGTTGGGAACGGTCTCCGTGGTGATGAAGCTTTCCTTTCCAAGGACAAGCCTTCTCTCCCGGACTGCGATTGTGACGTGTGCGTGGGCCGCTTGGGCTGGCCGCGGCCGGGTAGGCCTCGGCGGGCCGGGGCGATGGTCGCGAGTGGCCCCTGGGGTCAGCCCGCATGGGCAGGGCCAGTCCCCGGGTGACCTCCGCGGACTGCGCGGACGTAGGGTCCGGAAAGGACGCTTGCCCTGCCCTGCCCTGCCCTGAGGAGACGGCCTCTGTTTTGGTTTGTGTCGCCGCTGGAGCGGGAGGCGGAGACTCGTTGCGCCGCCTACTTTGCGGGCGCTTAGCTGTTTAGCCTGGACCTCTGGCTCACCTGGGCTAGAGAAATGTTCGCGGGTTTGGGAAGGGCCCCTCCCCCTGCTGCCGGAGGAAGTTTTAAATCTTGGGGAAACTCCCAACCCCCCTTGGTTGTCTTTTATTTCACAGCCTGCCTCCCTCGCCCCACCCCGCTGGCCTACACCTCACGTTCGGACAGGTTTGCAGGAGCGGGACAAGTCCCGGCTGGCGCTCGTGGCTGGCAAAATGGATGGTTACGACTTAGCTGGGGTGTACGCGAGTATTTTTCTGTTGAGAAATAGGAAGTGCATTTTGTTCATAAAAGTTTTGTTGGCCAACGCTGTGGCCTTTTTGCATATGGTAAGAATTTCGGCTATGTAGGTGGGAAGTTTTCAGCTCAGTATTCTGCCAATGGTAAAATTTCTTGTTCTCTACACGAACAAATACTAATTGTAATTTTGGTGCTCAATCCAAAAACATTTGAAAAAGATTATTTGAATAATAATAGTCTAGAGTGGGCTGGTTATTCTGTAGGTGCCCTTTGGATGTAGAGAAGGACTGAAGCCAAACTTCCCCGTTATTTTCTTCTCAAGGGCAAACTTATTTCCTCCCCCCCCTCCTTCCCTCCCTCTCTCTCTGTCTCTCCCCTTCTGTCCCCCTTTCTCCTTATACCCTTCCCTCTCTGCCTCTCCCTCCCTTTCCTCTCTGTCTCACCCTGTCTCCTGAATCCTCTCCCTCCCTCTTTCTCTGTGTGTCTCTTATCTCAGTCTCTATCGAGACTGGACCTCTTCTAAATGTTAGAATTACAGGCAGGTACCAACGGTTCTGGGCTTAGACTTGATATCTGGAAGAATACATTTGAATATACTAGAGATGACTTGTTAGCAACCTCCTCCTCCTCCTGTTAAATTTCAAGTAATATCTTTTTTTTTTTTTTTTTTTTTTTTTTTTTTTGTCTTTTTTGAGACAGGGTCTCTCTGTAGCCTCAGCTGTCCTGGAGCTCACTATGTAGACCAGGCTGGCCTTGAACTAAAAAAACCCCACCTGCCTCTACCTCCTAAGCGCTGGGATTAAAGGTGTGGCCACCACACCAGGCTCAAGTAATATCCTAATGGATTTGTCTTCAAGTCCTTATAGTAGCTGCATACCAATTTTACCCTCGGGATTGGATGCTGGGTTTTTTTTTTTTTTTTTAATTTTTTTTTTTTTTTGTCTTTTTGAAGCAGGATCTCCCTGTAGCCCCAGCTGTCCTGGAACTCACTATGTAGACCAGACTGGCCTTGAACTCACAGAGATCTGCCTGCCTCTGCTTCCCAAGTGCTGGGACTACAGGTGTGCACCACCATGCCCAGCTTAGGATGCTGTTTATATGAGGGATTCTAACTGTATCTTTATGTTTCTTTGGCGGAATTACTTCACCTGTGAAGCTTTTTGGGTTTTATTCTTTTGAAATGCCTTAGTATGTGAAATTTGGGCTTTATGCACTTGGGGTTTTCTAAAGTTTACATTGTCCCAAATAAACCTTTAGGAGAAAATTCCTGTTCCCAATACTTATGAGCAGAGCATTTTAGATTCTATCTATCTATCTATCTATCTATCTATCTATCTATCTATCTATCTGTCTGTCTGTCTGTCTGTCTATCATCTATCTACCTATCTCATCTATCATCTATCTAATCTAATCTATCCTATCTATCATCTATCATCATCTATCTAATCTAATATCTATCTATCATCATCTATCTATCTGTCTGCCTGCCTATCTATCTATCTATCTATCTATCTATCAATCAATCATCTATCTAAACTAAGCCAGGGCTGTTGTTTCAATGCCTGTAATCTCATCTATTAGGACAAAGAGGCAGGAGGATTGCTGTGAATTTGAGGCCAGCCTGGACTACAAAGTGTAGAGCTTATCACAAACAAAATGTGGTGTGGGTGTCAGCTAGGCAAAATAAATGGTTACTTAGCTGTAAAGGGTATTGGAGGTAGAGCTTTCTTCTAGAGTGTAAATGAATAAACTGCTGAGGGCTTTGCTTCTGCCTCCTACAAAATTTGCTTATTAACCTTTTTTATTTTAATTAATTAATTAATTAATTAATTTATTTTTTTTGGTCTTTTTGAGACACGGTCTCCCTGTAGCCCCAGCTGTCCTGGAACTCACTATGTAGACCAGGCTGGCCTTGAATTCACAGAGATCCACCTGTGCCTGCCTCTGCCTCCCGAGTACTGGGATTAAAGGTGTGCACACCATGCCTGGCTCAAGGTTCATATTTTTGTAACTGAAGATTTAAAAAAAAAATTTGGCTATCACTACCTTAATTATGGCACTACTAAGGATGCAAAGTGTTTATGTAAAATATGTAATATCTTTCTATTAAAGTAAGTTATATACAGGGTTTTTATTACTAGTTTGCCTTTTTATTTGCTTTAATCAACTTTATTCTGGAGATTTTCAGCCATATACAAAAGAAGGAATAGTGAAGTGGACGAAGATTTTGCCAGTGCTGTTTCATTACTCCACTGAGAAGAGCCCGGCAGTTTTTAAAGCAAACCCTAGAAATCAAGTCTTTCACCTGTAACTAATTTAGAGGCTAACTGATAAGGACTTAAAAAATTGTAATTGTGTTATACTTAACAATTTTCTTGAAGTCCAGTTGATAGAACAGAATAGGCAGAATAAATACCTAAATTTTTAAAGCCAAATTTCACTTCATATGCTTAATATGGAGCCACTGGAAAAAATTCTGCCACAAGAGGCAGGTCTGTTTTGGATTGTAAAAGTCCAAAAGCAGAAAGTAAAGATAACATTGAAATGCTTTTTCCTCAGTGTTAACCATGTGCTTAGCTGAGTGCTCACTATATCCTTTTTTCAGATACTTGTGAATTCCACAAATAATAAAATTTGTGGGTTTTAGAGTAAAGATTTCATAGAATGTAGCTATCTTTGGATTACCATCTTACTGTGCTCTTGTTTCTGGAGATGTACCTTAGGCAGTAGGAAACAGATTTTGGTGCTGCCATGTTGCTTCTTTCTTTTCACTTCCTATTATGTGCTGGGACTGTATTTCTTCTTTCCATCTGAGACTCTTGCTCTTCTCTGGATGGCAGTGAAACTACACTTCCCAGGCATTACCACAAGGTGATGCAGTGACTTCATATCACTTCTCAGTTGGGCTTAAGTGGCTTGTTCAGCTTGGCATTCTCAGTGAATTGCAACCTTTTTAATAGCTTTCCTGTCGTTTCAATGTTACTTTCTTATCTGCGGGAGGAGTGAAGCAGTTACAGTATAGGAGTTAGAAGTTTTTTTTTTTTTT